CATCAGCAGGAAGGTCTCCCAGGAGGTCTCCCATCCTTGTACTTACCAGGCTCACACCTGCTGAGCTTCAGTGGGTTGCCAGTTGTGAGTTGCTGGGTGATATGGCTGCTGGCCATATCATATGGTAAGATTTAAATTGCTAGACAGCTAGCTAATCCAAACAAAGCCCACATTTAAAAGCTTTTTTTTTCTCCCAAAATAAAAATGAAACGTTTCCTTAAAATGTCATAGGCAGGGGTACTCTACTCACTGTGTTCCTGACAGAGAAAGAATTCAAAATCAGACCTCTGACAAATGACCTTACTAAACAACCACTAAACAGATTTGCTCAAAAATCAAGCAAATATACAGGTGTTTACCTTCACCAGTGTGCATCTTTGCTTGAATGTGGTAATCTGCACTCTCTGAGGTGGAATCAAGGAAACTCCAACCCAGTGCTGAAACACTTAATATTATATAACCAGATATCAAAACCAGAACAGAGACACTGCTATGGCGATGGGCTCTTACTGTCGAAAGGTTTTCACAACGGGACTGGATGGCCTGTATGAAGAGACCACTGGCAGCTGAATTCCTGTGAATGGCACTGATGAAATCCTGCACTGGAGGCTCATGGGACAGATTAATCAGGTCCTTTACGTGATTCACAATCAGCCATGTGAGGTGCTCTGAGTCATGAAGGTTCTGGCACTAGGAAGGAGAAGATTTAAAACAAGACAAAGACGGAAGAAAAAAATACTGTCAGACTTTAAAGGGAGAGAAATAGGGGGCTAATGTTGTTAACACTTTTCAGTCTAGTTTCTCAATTTTTATATTCCAGTCTACATTTAAGCCTTTAAATGTTAAAGCATTTTGGAATTTCTGCATTTAGCGGTTTCGATTTCAGCCATCACTGACATTTCAGAAAAACAGCCGAAGGTTATAAAAGTGAACTGCAGAAGCAGGCAATCTCTTTTACATCCCCAGTTACACATCACAAATGAGTACCTACTGTTTAAAGCTCACACCCGAAGTCAAATTAGACCCTAGTTAGACCCTGAAGAGGCCTCAGAAACTACAATTTAGCGCTTTTAACATTCCAAACTTTAAAGCAGATGTTCCAATAACTTGTTTACTCTATTGTAATTAAATATCACAAGATAAAAAGTGACTTCTGAATTTTCTCATATGAAGAGCGAATGGGGTTGGAGTGAACTTACAACATAATCACAGAACAGAATCAGTGCTCCTCTCCTGACAATCTCCCTGCTGCACATGGCCAGCCTGGACTCTGGTCGGGCCTCTTCATCGTCTCCAGATATGTGGGGGCTCAGGAGCTTTGTGCTGGAGAGGCTGTGCCTCCTGAAAAAACAAAATGCATCTTACTGCTCAACAAATTCTTCTTCATAATGTTACTGTGCAGTGTGCCTATTTCCAAACAGTGTGTTAAAGTTCCCGAATGCCTTAAAACGGATGAAAAAACACTCTGAAGATCTAAAACACATTTGTCTTTAAGTTGGCAAACTTGCTTTGAGAAAAAGCAGAACATTCAGTTCCTGAGAAATTAGTTTACAACAATGTGTAAGTTTGAATCTATTGCAGAAATATCACTAAAAATGATGCTAAGAAGTTTAAAAGCATGTTTTCAGCATTACTCAGATTCGGGAAAACACAGAATAGTAAGTTACTGAAACATGAGCTGCACTACTTTGCTTATAAGCACAGAGTAACTGATTAGCACAACTGTCAATGAAAAGGGACTTAAAGGGGAACTGCAATTCTATTTTTATATTTCGGGTTTAGAAAGAATCAGAACATCACAACTATATACAGTAGTACTTTCAAAAAGTTCATGATTTTGTGCCTAATTTGGAATTTGTAAAATTTTGCGATACCGTCAATTTATTCATTTTGCTACCGAGATGTATTAACCAATCTGAGAATCTGGGACTGCAGCTCCCCTTTAAAAGCTGATAAACACATTTCATGGAAAAACTGAATAGTCAGTTCCTGACATACGTACAGTATTACAAGCACGATGCCTACAAAGCAATCTGTAACTGCATTGCAGAAATATCACTAGAACTGCACTAAGACAGTCTAAACCAGTTCATTAATGAACCCCGTATTCATGCAGTGTCCTGCATACCTGAGGCTCTGACCTACCTGGGAGTCTGGTGCACCTCTGACCACCAGGTGTAGTTGGTGTAGTTGATAATGAGCAGGATCTGGCACCAGAGCAGCACCAGGGAGGGGTGTGTGGTGATGAGAGACTGCACCATGCTGCTCACATTCTCCAGGGTGTAGAAGCTGCCCTCACAGCCATCGCCCTTCAACAGCTTGGTGGCAGCTGCAGTAATTCTTCGGAACATACCTGGGATGACAGTCAATAGTCAACAATCCTATTTTACACAAAGAGCATTCCGTATGAGCAAGCTTACCTTAAATAACATTTCTATCAGTTATTCCTTCCATTCTCTGTCCACGGGCCAAGCAGAAACAAGTTTCAAGATATAACCTACCCCCATAAGACGAACAAGAAAAAGCCCCAAGTTCTGAAAAGATTCAGGACCCAAAGCTCATCATTTACTATTTGTTCATATTCTATTATGACAATTTTCATTTATTCAGTAAAACAGTAAAGTTCTCTATTCGTGAAGATGAGGTACCTGAAGTCTGTGTGAGTGTGGGACTTAATACATTATGGGGTAAATGACATGGTGCGGAAGCTTGTAAACTAAGCAATCCTGTACTAATATTTGTGTTGTAACTCTTAATTACTTCAAAAACATTATTTATTGGTAATAAGCATTTTTTATGAAAATGAATACCGTAAATTTAAAGCATTGTTTTCCCCTATAATTTGAGTTATTGCATGTTCATACAAATTAGATCAGTTATAATATTACATTTTACCCTGTATTTGTTTTTTTAATTCTTAATAGAGTGGATTTTCTTTACTGTTTTACATCTTGTTATTATAATGCAGCATTACTGTACTGTGATAAAGTGTATAACAGTATAGTAATAGCTGTCCAGAAAGTAAATAAAAGTGTACAGCATTGCACATACTCTAAAACTGGAGTAATAAAATTGATATGTTTGAAGACCACCTAGGATTTTGTATAAGTTAACATGTATTTGACAGCACACACCCACAAACAGTACAGGGCATTTCTCTCATAACAGGTCTACACACAACTTACACCTCTTGCTTTCCTGATGGAAACCGAATAACTAAAGCATAACCCATGATGCACTTCTACATTTACATGTTAGCTCGTTGGTTACCAAGCTATGCCTTTACTACAGAGACAGCAGGAAGTGGGTGCCCCCATTTACTCTCCTATTTCGCAGCTTGCGAATGAGGCAAACATGGTCACCAATCAATTCGAGAGAATCAGTGAAATTGGAAATGTAAAAGAAATCACTATAAATACGGCAAGAAACAGTCATGTTTATTGTCAGTTGCTCAGAGTTACAAAGCTGAAAAAATAATCTGGGTATTCTGGACTCAAGACTGGAATCTAACTTATGTCTCTGTGCCTGAGGACTATTACCTGATTTGAAGATATGAATGAGGCACATCAGCAGTGTGCCAAGCTGTTGACAGTAGAAGGTGTGCTGCTGCTCACTCATGTCCACTTTAACTTGTTTACTGGAGATCTCTTCCAACAGGATTCCAACCAGCTGCAGAAGAAACCTTTAAAAACAGCAACATCGTGAGGGAATAAAACACCAGTTCCTGGATTTGTCATGAAGTACAAACTACGTCTTACTTTTATTTCCACCAGCTTGAGATTTAATAATCCGCCTCCAACAGACTCAATGCTAGGTTTATAAGAAATAAACATTATTTTCCCATTAAAGTTTATGTAACATTCCTTGTTGTGTGGTTAATACATAATACATCTTGAGAAGGGTATTCTTTGATGTCATTTCAAGGAATCTGTCATCTAAGATTCCTCAGATTTGCATTGAGGACCCCATGCTCCGAATGCACGAAATAGCACTGCTCATCCCTATTCCTGGAGCTCTACAACACAGTGGCATTATAGCAACAATTTCTAAAACATTTTAGTTTTGACTACTGAAACAGGTGATTTGTTCAGCTAATGTGTTTAGAGATTACAGGAAATGATAAGAAGACTGCAGTTCCCAAAGACCACAGGAGGGTATTTCTGACTTAATGGAACTAATTATCTTATTAAATTGATTAAAACTCACAAATAACCCCCGTTTTTACAAACGGGTGACTTAAAGGTTAGCAATACTGTAAAGCCTTAAGGACTGTGATACTGCCAGACTTGGAGACCCTTTGCTTATACCATAACAAGTGTTCCTCATATAATGCACTCAATTACTTAACTAAGAACCCAATGTTAGCGCTGATGTAATGAATACATTATAAACATAGCACTGAATATGTAATATCTTTCTCATTTTTTTCTACATTTTGTTATTTCTGTTTGTAACTGTGATCAAATAGGTTACATCCTCTCTCTTCATCCACCCGTAAGCAATTAACAGCAAGCTGTTCTCCGCAAGCTGCAGCAGTTGACAGCAGACCTTGCAAACGTTTCCTCTGGAGGGTATTTATTCTGAGCTTCTCCCGTGTGACCCGCTGAAGGAGGCGTGTGCGAGCTGTAGTCTTGGAGCTTGTCGATGGTGGGGCAGGAGAGGAGGTAAGGAGACAGCGAGAGCTCCTGAACGCGAGACAGCACAATATCCTCTGTGGACTGGGAGATGAGGACTCGCAGGACAGCCAGAATACCCGATACCCACAGCTGCACCGTCCCCACAGAGGACTACAGGAAAAACAAAAAAGAATACAAACAGGTTTGCACTGTAACTTAAAGCCCTTTTAAACTTAAACTTTTTCTTCTTAGTAGAGCCAGCAGCATTTATAGCCAGCAGCCATATCACCCTGCAACTCACCACTGGCAGCCCACTGAAGCTCAGCAGGTGTGAGCCTGGTTAGTACCTGGATGAGAGACCTCCTGGGAAAAACTAAGGTTGCTGCTGGAAGAGGTGTTAGTGGGGCAAGCAGGGAGCGCTCACCCTGCGGTCTGTATGGGTCCTAATACCCAAGTATAGTGACGGGGACACTACACCGTAAACAGGCGCCATCCTTCGGATGAGACGTAAAACTGAGGTTTTACTCTCTGTGGTCATTAAAAATACCAGGGCGTTTCTCGAAAAGAGTAGGGGTGTCACCCCAGTGTCCTAGCCAAATTTCCCATTGGCCCTTACCAATCATGGCCTCCTAATAATCCCCCTCTATGAATTGGCTTCATCACTCTGCTCTCCTCCCTAACGATAGCTGGCATGTGGTGAGCTTTCTGGCGCACTATGGCTGCCGTCACATCATCCAGGTGGGGCTACACATTGGTGGTGGTGGAGGAGAGTCCCCATTACCTATAAAGCGCTTTGAGTGAAGTGTCCAGAAAAGCTTTATATAAGTGTAAGCAATTATTATTATTATTAATTTAGGTTTTGTGAAAGATGAGTCCATGATTTTTTAAAGATTGCTTCCGATATTTAGCTCAGATAATTTGTAGTGTTATTATTAGGCTTAGGTAGTGCAAATAGCAGGGACCTGTGTATCCTAATATTCAACACTGGAAGAGTGGGAGCCAGATGAATATTATAATTATACGTTTTATGAAAGAGGTCCATAAAACAACAGGGTGTCAAACCCCGCACAATGCTAAAAAAAAACATCTCTCTGCTACACTTCCGCATTTTCTCCCGTGCGTGGTCACGGGGATCGGATGCTAGCTGAAAGAAAAGCAAAACTGTCTATTCCAAGAAGGGTGGGCAAAACAAAAACAATGGGCAATTCTATATAAAACATGGATATTTCCAATGCAAACTGGATTTACAGAAGCATACCATCAAACAAATAAAAACGTCTCTTCCCCCCTAATTTCATTGACAAGGTCCTCATTATTATAGGGAAGGTGGCAGTAAGGCCATTCTTAGTTCAAGTCCAACACTTTACTACATTAACAACTAGTTGTATGGAATTTGGATTGGTGAGCTCATACAATTAAAGACACAATAAAAACATGCAACATAAAACCTATAATAGACGGTATCCAACCACCCTAAACACACACCATTAATAAAATAAACAACAGTGAGATAAATAAAAGTGGGATCTGATGGAGCAATGAGCCGTGCAAGTTATCAAAAGTTAAAGTGCAGAGTTTATGCACTTTACAGGGAAGGTGCTGTTACAAATCCTGGCAGTCCTGGTCTTGATAGACTTAAACTAACTATCAGAGGGGACAAAAGTAAACACAGGTTGGGTACTGCCCCTGGAAAACGCATGTACTGTGATACATACTGCGGTATACCACAAACTATTTGATTTCATGATTAGTAAAGCATATTGAGTTGCGTACAAAATAAAGTAATGAAAATTATGTTGTTTCGTTTTTTTATTGGAACCGAAAAACTAGAAATAACACTGAACAGTGCAACAGAACAATTTAACAACATACAGATTTTTGTCAATCATTTAATGATTAAATCTTTTTCACAAGATATTGGAGGTTAATTTTGCTTAGCAAAATAATGTAAAATTCAAAATATGACAGGTGCTTGTAAGTTGTAACATTTTTCTTTACAACGAGTAAAGTTGACATTCACAACCTTATGAAACAAATTTAGCATGTTTGATTTCCCTTGGCTATTTAATCTAAAACTTCAAGATTAAATAGCCAAGTCTAGTGAGGAAGCCAAGTCTAGTGTTTCAGTCTAGTGAGGAAGTGCGAGCCCACAGAGGAATGATGGCATCCTACAGTTTTGGAGGGGACATACACTGCTCTCTTTAGCTTACCACACAGTTAAGGACAAGGTCAAAACGCTCTCAATGACAGATCTGTAGATAATAGTCATTGCTTCCTGTAAAACTCAAAACGTCTCTAACTATCGCAGGAAGAATAACCTCTGGTGGCGACCTTTCTTCACCTTAATGGATGTGTTGACCTCCCATTTTAGAGTGTTGGAACTTAGAATTCTCCACCACTTCTACATTAAGAATTGTGGTGAGAATGCTCCTTTTCTTTTTCTAAGTCCACCACAAACTCTTTTGTTTTGCTGACATTTAAAAGTTGTTTAGGCTGCATCACTCAAAAAAAAAAACTCACCATGGTGCTAGGCGTGACAAACATGCTCCTGAGAAGCATGTCAACAGGCCGCAGTGATGAAGGAGCCACAGTCTCAAACAGGGTGTTCAAAACCCCCAGTGCCTCATGGGAATCCAGGTGCATCTGCAAACAACATAAATTAACATCAAGTCTTGAATTCACACTGTAAGCATCCAACGCTTTCCTGAAGGAAACCAAAGAACTAAAGCATAACCCATGATGCATTGCTACATAAACATCTGAAAGCTTTGTTAACCAAGCTGTGCCTTTACTACAGAGAACGATGCAGGTCAGGTGAAGGAGATCCACGAGATGAACATGTATAAGTGAACTGTATAAGTGGGTGTCCACATTTATGCCCATAAATATGCAAATTAGGTTCACAAACGAGAAAAAAGTAGTCACTAAAAATTGTGTGCAACAGATGAAATAATGAATGTAGAACTTGCGGAAATTGAGGTTTTACTGTACTCAGTTTTGATATAACGGAAAAAATACTGACCATAATTACTATACATCTGAAAATGAAGAGAACGTGTACCTGCTGCTTTGCGATCATGGGCAGGATGATATCTGCTATCTGCCGTGACAGTCTCTTCCACTTGTCTTCATTCTCTTTGTGACACTGCTGCAACACTAAGATGAACATCTCCAGCACCTGAAAAATGAGGACAACATTCAGTGTGCACTGAGCCAAGTAAAAAGAGTAAAGCTGAACCTCCAATGCATTTTTAAAAAAATCTTTGCAAAAAAATGGTATAACTTTTCTTCCAACAGTATTCTGGTGGCCTGTAATGTGTATTCTGAGGCTGGAAATGTCATAATATTGAACTGTCACTAGGAAAAAAGGAAATAAAAGAGATATTCCACATCCTAAAAGAACAAAATTCCATATTCTAAAAGAATAAGGACAGAAATTATGGTGCCATATCAAACATTTACCTGATGGTATTGTATAAGTCTAAGCAGCATGGAGACCACCACCTCCTTTTGGGTCTCCAGCTCTTTGCCTGCGTCGGCTTTGTTGGACCCTCTCAACACAAACAGGTCGTGGACAATAGGCTGCAGAGCTGGAATCGCTGAGAGAAAAAAGCACACTTCATCACAATCTGACATGGACTCCTACACCTTATGGAATCGAGCAATCTGTCAATCACTTTACAAAACATATAACGTCTATACAGTCACACCCCTGTATATGCTGGTGAGGCATTCTTGAAAAGTGAGCCATGTTAACAAATCAGCTTTCCACACGAGGATTAGTGTAAATACTGTGCATACAGTCACATAAGAAGGATTTTGATACACGTATTCTTTTCTTTGAAAGTTGTGTACTAATGAAATTTGCATTTCAGATCAAAACATTAATATCAGACAAAACCACAGAATGTCAGCATTTGTGTCAGTCTATAAGTTTGCATGTATGTTTAATGATAATATAACAGTGCCATTTCAGAAGAGCATAGGTAGGGGAGCAAATGGCTGACAGGTGTTTTAATTGCTCATATGCTGCGTTAGTTGTGAAAACAAGAGATCTGTGAATGTATAGCCTTGGTTCCAGCCTTTGGAGATTACTTTTTTAGTCTGCCTCTTGAGTAAGAAGCCATAAACTAAGGTGAAGACTAGAGAGTTGTCAATGACAGAAGGCACATTACCTAATAACTTGATCGTTGGAGCGATTAATTTGCAAAGCATTGGGCAATAGAAACTGATTCTCAGTATAAGTATAGCAGCGAAATATTTCTGAATCAAATCAAAAGATAAAGAATTGACTTAAAGTGTACACAGGGTGTGGTATACATGTCTTGGAAGATTTTATATCGATTGGTGTGCAAAAAAGGAGTAAAGTAAACAGAGCATGGAAACCAGTTAGATCCTGGTGGCAATGAAAGAGGAATTATCAAAACGGCAGGAAGACAAAATTATGACAAAGACCGAGAAGAACCATGACAAACCTGAACCCCTTACTTTTACGCGAACCCCACCCCAGAGGAAGAAAACACAGCTCTTTGCCTGCACTACACCTGAAATCGTTCTGACAGCCTACACGCAGACACGGTCGGATTGTTTTCTTCCCCAGTACCCCCTGATCCGTGCCAAGAGCAAAACGTACCGTGTGTGACCGCCTTCCTCCCGCTGGCCATGATGCCATCGCACAGCTGGATGATTTTGGGGATGCCGATGATCTGCTTGGAGTGGTATCGCTCGTAGGACAGCAGCACCAGGAAAAAGAAGATATTGGGAACAATGGCTTCTGAATCCCTGTGGAGTAAGTAGCATACCATTACAGAGACCAGTGCTTGGGTGAATTTCATTCCTCCTCCTGATTTTTGACTGAACCAGTTCTGAATTTTGCAACACCGGAACTAAAATGGGCATCTTGTCATCGTGGTTTAACCTGTTGTTATCTATTTCATAGGTAACAAGATACATTACAGTTACTAACTTTATATTGATAAGGTGTGAATTTGTAATTTTCTGTTATCAATAAGTGCAAAACATACAACTTACCTAAACTGTCCCACTTCAATGTATTCAAACTGCTTCAGAACAAATCCAATAAAAACCTACAGAAGACAACATTTGAACATTTATATTTTGAACAGACTGCTTTAACCACTTCCAGTACTTGCTGGGCTATTTGCTTTTCCAATATTTGCCAGGTGGAAAGACTGGGGATTTACAGATTCATCATTTTTTTAAATTTCTCCTTCCTTGCAGTTAATTACAGTGCCTACAGAAAGTCTACCGACCCTTTCCAAAGTAACACATTTTGTGGCCTAACAGCCAGAAATAAAAACCCATAAAATCATAATTTATTTACCTTTATTTATATGTTGTAACAGACAACATTCAAGTGAAAAACAAATGTCTAGTTATTAGACTAAAGTTATTACAAAAGGCATACAAACACCTGAATTAGCACTTGGCAGAAGCACCTTTTGCTTCAATCAAAGGGGAACTGCAATACTAATTTCATAGGTTAGAAAGAATCGGCACTGATTAGTGCATTTTAAAGTGCAAATATGAGATTCAGAACTTCTGGTGACATTAGGCAGTCTTTTTAAACTGTAAAGAGGCAGGCTTGTGAATATATCTTTGAATCCAACAGAAATATTGGTCTTGACTTTGAGTCAGTTTTGTCGACAAATTCTGCTTCTTAAATCTGCATGGAGATCATGTTGGAACAATTCTTTGGTGAAATACCTGCTGTAAAACCTGTACTTATTCACTTGTTCATCACATTACATAAGTCATTACAGTGACTAGTGAGCAAGAAGGGCAGCTTCACGTCACAATTCCTGTGAATTCTATCTCTCACCCGTAGCAAGACCAGTGGTGTGCGACAAACTGGAGACCATACAGTACTTTCACAAAGTTCCCGATTTTGTGCTTAATTCAAATTTCTAAACTTCTGTGATATCATTTATTAATTTGTTACAGAGATTTAATAACCAGTCTGAAAAATTTGGACTGCAGTTCCCCTTTGACATTCATAATTGTGTTAGGCTACAAAATGTGTTACTTTGGAAAGGGCCTATAGACAGTCTTGGCCCTACATATTTATAGACCCCAACACAAACTGTAAGAAACTACACACAAAGTAGAACATTCAGAACATATACTTAAGGAAAATATATAATCATCATGATGTCTTAATTAAATATGAATATGAACTGCGGAAACGTTCCCTTGAACACCGTAGCTGGAGCAGTCTGTTGCTAAAAGTGCTCTGCTGCCTAATAACCCATGTAGCGGATGAGAGGCGTTGTTCATGATGACTATAAGGCTATAATTTCATCTATAAGGATCCCGAAGCTTTCCATTACTGAAGTGAAGTGCATTAAAGACCAGGAGCCCCACTACACAGCGGACAAGCCCATGACACGAGACATTCCGCAAGACAAAATCAATAGGACGTACTTTAATGTAGCCCACACTGAACTTCATTTTCACTGAAAAAGGAACCGGTAACAAATTAGTCAGGACCTTGATTTAATGTCTCAGCCAAAGGATGGCATTTCCTACACAACAGTGTCCTCTATCAACATAATGGAACAACTGTTAGGACATTCTTGACCAGAGCCAAGACCACCACTTGCTTAATCCAGAAAACTGTGTTTTTGAAAGGTCTCAGTTTCATTTAGCTACTGAAACCTGATGAAACTGGGCTGTAAGGTGCTATGTCAGACAAGGAGAACAGGAATTTGGGCCTCTGTAAACGGGGACCCACAGTAAAGAAAACACTAAACTCCAGGTAAACATAAATAACATAGCTCTCTAAATAAGCATAATCCCAACTGGGTAGAGGTGATCCAACAGGCAGTAACAACATGATCGACAGGAGATGAAGGCTGCAGCTACAATGAGATTTTCCCCTGGAGATCTGGTCAAATGATTCCAGTAGGTATCGGATCTCACCTGATCGGAGTCCAGAAGGCAGTAGTTGACTCTGAGCTGCACAAGCTGAGCCAGCAGGTCCAACACCTGTCTCTGGAGGGACACGGAGGTGGTGGTGGTGTACTGCTTGAGTGCTTTGATGACCAAGGGCTCAAACAAGCGGATGTGGTTATGGATGGCATTCTAAGAAAAGAGGTTAAGAGGACAAAAATGGATCACGAGCCAACTGTACATCATGGTCCAGGGGTAAAAAAAACAAACTAAATAACAAGCAAAGCCTTTGAAGAGCTGAATAGACTCTGTTCAGACTCATAACTCATAAGGGGTGACATTTCCTTGTGCCACAAGGTCTAATAAGAATTTTAATGAATCAAGAAAACATAATACATCATAAAAGATTAGAGTATATAGAGTCTTTTCATAAAAGTTTAATGTATGAAGCCAATACGATTGGAAACATTGGAGCCACCACATATTATAAGCATGTGATTTCAACAGTATTTTTGACAGCTCTTTTTGACCAAGTGTGTTTACCAACATACAATGCATCAATTGTGAACCATTCTGTGCCATAAAGTAAACTTTGTTAATCATAGGAAGTGGTATTTTTATCTCCTGCACACAAGCAATCAGATACTGAATTCTTCTATTCTGTGAAGATAGAATATTCATCAGATTCACTATTATGTGGAGATGGTGCTGTTCTTCAACTTGTTTTCCGCACAGCAAAGTAAAAAGAAAAAAGAAGACACTAACATCTTCGGGCAATATTCTTTGTTCACAAAGGCTGCCCTTTTCTTCTTTTTACTTTTCAGTTCGGAATCAACTTCTTAACTATTTCTCTGCTCCCCAGTTGAATCTCCTCATCCCTCCATTTCCTAACCGCTTTGTCCAGTACTGGATCACAGGGCAGTCAGAGCACGTCCCGGCGAGCAATGGGCACAAGGCAGGATTCACCCTGGACAAGATGCCAGCCCACTGCTGGGCATCCAGAGACATGCACACACTCACACCAGGGCCAATTTTCCCAGAAGCCAATTATCCTGCCGGTACAGTATGTTTTCTGGGAGTGGGAGGAAACAGACACTAACACAAGTACAAGCTCTGCTCAGACAGCACCCAGTAATTGAACCCAAGGCCACTATGCCTTGTGCCACCCATGTGAACTTCTTCAGGTTTAAAAATATACAGTATAGGAAACAGTACAGCAAAGCTTTTATTTGTGGGGTCAACCATTTTCCTGCTTTTTTCCTTTAATGGTGTTGTCTATTAACTTCATGGTGTCTTATACTACAATGTAATTCCTACTTTCAAACACAATATTCTGCTTCAAAATCAATATGACAAACACTGGCCTGCCACTGTTAAACCCTGGAATAACATAAACCTTTAAAAATGAATGTAACTCATACCGATAACCCAGGAAAGTATGCCAGAAAATGTCATGTGAGCGTGCTTTACCTTATCTGCTCGATGCTTCGTTACATTAGTGATGCTTGATCTCAGCTGGATGGATACTTTCTGCATCACATCAAACCACCTACGGTTAAGCAGCAGACAAACACATAAGAGAAAACATGCATACCTATTTCATAAGATTGAAGCAAAAGAAATGTTCTCAATAATGTCCTGTTTTGGAGGCTTGATGTCCATACTCAAACCTCTAAAACTAGCAACTAGTGTTTCTAATGAAGCACTGGCTTAGTGTAATTGTATAATTAAATCAATTAAGGTAAACTCATGCACTGCATAATTGCTGGACCTGCCTATAAGAGGGCTATTTACTGAAGCACATTCCCCAGAACGCTGTGGGGAATGAGTTGCCACACTCAGGCACCTTACTAATTCTGAGAAGATGACTGGTCATGTGATACATTAAAACCAGGAAACCGAGGCTTTCTAATTTGGTCTTTGTCTGCTGTCTTTGCCGATCCTGAGCAAATGGCACGAGGAAAGAAAACAGACCAACCGAACAACTAACCGAGCTAGCAAATGGCTTTGTGGACATGCACTATAATTAATTAAATCTTCAAAGAAAGATGTTTTTAGCTGCCTGATTACTAATAAAGGGCAGAATCTGGCTAGACTTTAATATAATAAAAGAGCACTTTTCTCTTTCCCTTACGGCTGCTTTGTCTCTCAGTTTTACCCTAACCAGCCTATCAATGCCACTGCTTAGGACACCTTCGACCAGGATCTGAGACACTACCACTCAACAGCCCAGGAAGAATAACAATTAAGAAAGCTCCACCTTTGTTCTACCACGGCTGTATTTTGCCATTTTAATTTTGGCTGAATGTGTGAGATGATACAATCTCATGAATCTGTACTTATGAGGAGAGCTTTGTTCACAACATAACGACATACTCTTCTAAAAAAACAGCAACAGGGAGATTAATACACTGAATCTTTTGAGCTGAAAAAAAGGCATTTACTTCTAGAGTTTTGTTCATTTGTACATTTTGAAGCTAAGTGGGAGAAAGAAGGCCACAGAGTTTTCTCGATGCATCTCGAGGGCCAGACTCAGCGAAGCCTCACCCCGAAGTGTCCTGCTCCTGCTCGGCCTGCACCATGTTGCGCAGGCTGGCGTCGGCCAGGGCCTGTGTGAAGTGAGTGTAGGGAGCCATGAAGCAGTAGTGGTAGAGCCCAGGCCGCAGGCTGGAGGAGCCCAGCCGAAGGGCCTTCCCCTGAGACTTGCAGGGGTTAGAGGAGGAGCCGTCGTACTGAGACGCGAGATTGGTCCCAAACAGGGTCTTCAGCAGCTGGAATTAAACCATAATAATAGTTAAAAATAATTCCTTATACTTGTATATCACTTTTCTGGAAACTCCACTCAAAGCGCCTTACAGGTAATGGGGACTCCTCTCCATCACCACCAATGTGCAGCCCCACCTGGATGATGCGACAGCAGCCATAGTGCACCAGAATGCTCACCACACATCAGCTATCAGTGGGGAGGAGAACAAAGTTATGAAGCCAGTTCATAGATGGGGATTAATTAAGTGGCCGTGATTGGTAAAGGCCAATGAGAAATTTGGCCAGGACATCAGGGTAAAACCCCTACTCTTTTCGAGAAATGCCCTGGGATTGTTAAAGACCACATCGGTTTTATATCTCATCCGAAAGATGGGGCCGTTTTACAATATAGTGTCCCCATTCCTATACTGGGGCATTAGGACCCACATAGACCGCAGGGTGAGCGCCCCCTGCTGGCCCCACTAACACCTCTTCCTGCAACAACCTTAGTTTTACCCAGGAGGTCTCCCATGCAGGTACTGACCAGGCTCACACCTGCTGACCTTCAATGATTTACCACTTGTGAGCTGTAGGGTGATATGTCTTCTGAGTGATTACCTATAAAAGGGCATTTACATTTATATTTTCTGCCCAATTTAATATTTGTCCTCTACTGGCAACTTTTTGCTTTGGTTTGTGTTTTGATCTATTTTGGTCAAATTCAAATCTCTTCTAAATGCCACTAAGCTCTAACGGAGGCATTAATGGCAAAAAATGGCCGCTTTACCTTTGAAGATTGCACTGGATGTATAATTTCTGTACTGCATTGTTGATGGAAGGCCAGTAGAGGAGTGCAGATATTAACTGAGGCTCTGATCTCACTCACCTGCTGGACACACACAGTGGCCATTGTGGGTTCTCTGCTGAAGCATGACTTCAGATAACCCAGGATCTCTTCAACACACTGAAAACATTAAATCACACAATAAACTGCATGGGCCAACTTCATACAACGGAATTTGTCTCTTTAATGTGTCCTGCATGAAAAACTGCGATATATTAACTTACAGCAGCATTCCATTAATGTTTTCTCCTTCCTTAACTACTCAAACACAATAAAAAAGCATTCAAATACAGAGTGATGGCTGGAGTAATCTGCACCTTGCCTGGATCTGAAACTCTAGGCCCAGAGAATTTAAATTCAGCAAGTCTTATAGATCACCCTACATCATTTGTTTCCATTTGGCAACACTTGAACAATTTTTCTGATTGATCAATTAAGCAAACAATGTGCTCTGCAAACGTAAAGAGGGCTAGCTTTCAGTCCAAATAACATCTAGATTACTTCATTATTTACTTAATTACTTAGAACTTCACCCGCAACTGTTTACAAATTTCAGAATTATTGTAAGTATTTGGAAATTGATGATTTATCGATTGCCTATAAAACCTCTGGGACTGGATGTCTCCAGGAGAAGGGTTAGAGACACCTGGTCTAATAAGCACACACAATAGCAGGGGAAATAGGAATGTCAAGAGTGTAGAAATTAAATGTAAGGTACTGTATCATGCAAGAACACGTGCTAACAACAAAGCAGCACAAGGTTTTTAGTCTTCTTTACACTGTAGCAACCTCTACAGACCAAGCAATGCTGATAAATATGAAGCATAAAGGGATTTCAATTTACTGACAAGGCAAGAAGGACCACTGAGAGAAAATGGAAACTCGGACATGGATTATTTGACAGTTATTACACTGTACAGGGACTACGGCTTGAATTTGTTTTGTTTTTTTAAAAAGGCTGACGAAAAACCAAATACAACAGGTGCACTTGACATTTTTACTATGATATATCACAGACTACTCCATTGGCCTCTTACATCTATTGTTCTTAACCTGGAATACCATTAATCCTTTACTTTTCTTAGCAACGTTCGCAGACAAAGAATATTGCTTCCTGTTTATAATGCCAAATAATCTATTGTTAATGACTTCTGTGAAATCAGCTTGGCTGCATCACTAAACACCTGAAACACATATGAAACACATTAAAATATTACAGGAAATCTCCTATTGTAAATGAAGCACTCACCTTTCCGATGTCCTGGAGGGTGGCAAGCTCTAGCAACTGGGACAGCACATCAAGAGCAGCCCGCAGGAACCCTCCAAACTTTTCACTGGTGTTCTGAAGGTCAAGTGTCACCTGGGTAATTCATCAACACATGGAGGGACGTTACTAACCAATGACTAATGTCGGGCTCCACAGCTTCATTCCTCAGATGCCATTAACGTTTAAACTGAACTTCCATTTGTGCTTAACTGGACTAGTTGAACACTTTTCAGAGGTTAAATAAAAATAACTACCCTAAACTCCTGCAGGATCATGGCAGTCAAGCATGCGATTTGAGCATCGCTGAGGGTGTTGGGCCAGCAGTCCAGCCTGTATGGCATAGAGTCTGCCGGGGTCTAGAACTCTGCAGGAGGGAAGCAGGACCACCCTTCCGCATGAAAGTCAAATCGACTCATGCCAGGATGATGGAGGTGGAAAATGTCATCTAAGTAGTCATTCCAGGGGTCACTGGGACCTCAATAGCTCAAATGTGTTAAGATCTGGTGACTGAACATGAGTGTTATGCTCATTAAAGTATTGTGCGACCACACGTGCTCTGAAAGACACCCATCTCTGCAGAAAATAATTGCTGGTGCTGAAACCCTGTCCTGCATTTTTAAACACATCCCTAGATGCTCGGATACTTGTTAAGGGAATGGACAAGCCACACCTGTGTGGATGCCCTTGTATTCAATATACTGTACTTCGTGTCCCTCATTTACCCATTTCATTTCTCTTGTCCAATACCCCTACACACAATTACAAAACCATACAAAACCTTATAGTTGGCATGTGTAGCCTTCAGAACATCGTAGAGTTTGAGGTATGGAGGGAGATGGTAGAAGTTGCCTAGCGTAGATGACTTGTTTATAGAGTTGGTCCCAGTGGTGTCAGCTGGTCTGGCAGCTTAGGAACACAAGAGAAAGCCAAGGGTTCAAGTCACATGAGTCAGGGAGGTAAATCCACCTACAAAGCCAATCTTAATCTTACATGACGAATTTATGAAAGCAGGTGGTTTATTACCTTTCCTATGAACAACTATTCCTACTTTAAAAAGTACAGTTAAGAGTCTACAGTTATTCAAAGCCTTTACCACAATGACAGTGCAAACTCTCCAGCTCCACAGTCTTGAGAATCTTATCTCTTGGTCCCAGAAGTCAGTGAGGGAAAGCGTGTTTCAGTTGAAAGGTATGACACCACAGAAAACATTGAAGGTTCTAGTCTGGCTCTGTTTTGCCTATCAGGCTTCTCAGTTCGCGTCTATTTAGATTCAGCAACTCAATAACGTATACGAAGAGAACTTAATGCCGGCGTACACATGTATATTATAACTGATCAGTACATAAACCCAGAAAATTATTTATAACAATGAGAAAGCACAAAAATACTTTGAAGTATCTTGGCTGAAGTTTTTACTTTTCAAAATCTGAAGTGTCGTGCCAAGATTCATCCACCAGGTGGCACATTTTGCTTTCAAAATGACTTCTTAACTTGTGGATTGTCCAAATTTAGAAATACAATAAATTAGCCTTTCACCTTTGTCCAATTTTGACCACAACTTCCAATATAATTCGCCATAAAAGGTTTGCACAAATAGAGAATACAGACATTTCACCATGTCTGCACAAGCATGGAAGATGAATCCAGGCCAGGGCCCAGGTGGTTCACTGTTACCTGGATTGCTCTCACTACTCTTTTTCGGGCTCATGGGGGCAGCAGCCTGCTCTGCTGGCTCCTTCTCCTTGCCTTTCCTTCTTATTGGGCTCAGCGAAGGCGTGTTGGCAAGAGAGGGCAGGGTGGCCTAGGAAAATTGAACAATAAATGCAATTAAACAGGGTAAACCTTTTTTTGCTGAAGGCATGAGAATTAACTGACGATATGGGATCAACTGTCTCGCTAAAACGCCATTGAAGAAAAAAAATATATAACAGGCTTCTAGAAATGTCCTCTGCAAGTGAAAAGGAAAGAAACCGGGGCTCCAGCTGGAGAAAGTATACCTTCACAGCAGGCCCGGGGGCCACGTCGTCGATGACATGCGCGCAGATATTGATGATTTTCAGCAGGTGAGAGAAGAGCTGCTCCACCATGGTGACTACAGTCCGGTCCCCCAGCGCGGGCCAGGGCTCCTCCTGTTTCGTCCCCCCGGCGCCGGTCTCGTCCTCCGTGCTCCAGGGGCTCTTAAGGCACTTAGGGGCAGTGGCTGTCAAGACAGGGCTTTCGGACTCACACTCACGAAGACTTTTAGACACTTTCATTGAGCACATATTAAAGGCCAGTCTAACCCAAATTTTCAAACTTCATTGGGGCTCATTAAAAAGACAGGGATTTCACTCTTTTTGTACATACAGTGCCCTCCAGATTTATTCAGCTTCCCAATGAAAAAGGAATAAAAAACATCATATAATGCAACGATTTAGATATTGGACAATGTGTTTGTTAAAACTGTGGACGTGTTATACAGGACCAAGACACATAATCCAATCTGTAACTCATTCTAGATCATACATAACTTTTTTTTCCTATTTCATCAGGGGTCGAAATAAATCTGTAGGACTCTGTAATGAGACAATATCTCACAAGTTTGACCTCACTGTTCCATCGTAAAAGAAATTCAGGTTATGGAAAAATCAATATTCAACGGGACTGTTTAAATGTACTCAAGTCGTACCTGCAATTAAGTTCCCAGCGAGGATGAGTGTGTCCTGGTGTGCCGAGAGGTCCAGGGGGAACCAGGCCGAGGACAAGAGGGACAGCACCATGTTGGCCATGCCCACAGTGCAGTTCTTTTTCGCATCCTCACTGTTCGAATGGGACAGGCTGCAAACAGCACCACACATCACTACCCTGCGGCCGGCTGCTCTAGCAAATTTTCCAGCAAATCACTATGACAACTTGAGCAGACAAAAAGCAGATTAGGTCAAAGAAGCAGAGATTTTTAAAAAGTGCGCTTAGCTGATGAACTTCAAGTGAAATCTAAAGCCGCAGATTAGTGAGAAATGCGTGTAATACAACATGCATACTGTAGAAAATAAGCTGTACGTTCGTCAAGAAATTGGCAAACTAAATACATCAAACAAGCCAGAAAACAACCTTATTTGTTGACACCCTTGTTTCTTTTACATTTTCTTCTGGGTTAATATTAGCTTCAAGCCTGGGCAAGTGACATTAGCATTAACTGTGAAAGCGCCGGTGCATTCTTCCATACCTGAAGGAGCGCCCCCTGTTCTTATAGAGGCTGGAGCGAAACGGCTGGCTGGCGGAGGAGCTGACGTACCCACAGTGCCAGCCCGTGCTCCAGGTGCACACTGGGAATGCTGAAGACAGGAGGCACAGGGCCTCACAGCAGCCAAACTGGAAAACACAAACCCACGTCACAAACTTTGTCCACATACAGCTGCTCAGGATTATTTTCCCACCAAAAATTCTAAATGATTTTGAAAACTCCAGCAGCGTGTTTTTCATGTCTCAGCTCACAGCTATGAGCCCTGCTACCACATATGTGCAAGAACAAGGAAGTGTGGGCAGACTCCTGCGCTGGAGGCTCAATGACAATTGGAGGAGAGGCAGGTCCCTCATCGACAGAAGTCCGAACCATGGCCAACTATTCCTACCCTTCTTCCTTCTTGGGGAATGTCGATCACAGTCCGCACGCAACGCAAGGCAACGCAAGGCAACGCAAGGCAACGCAAGGCAACGCAAGGCAACGCAAGGCAAGGCAACGCAACGCAACGCAACGCAACGCAACGCAACGCAACGCAACGCAACGCAACGCAACGCAACGCAACGCAACGCAACGCAGGCTCGAACCCACGACGCCTGGATCATATAGCTCGACCTACATTTGAGTGAGCTCCTTTACTTGGTGACCCACTTGGGAGACACTTCATTTCTCAAATCTGTTATCAAATTTTCTCTGCCTTTTTAACACCAGAAACAGAATTCCTCACAACCCCTATATTGAGACCATTCAACAAGGTACTTTTCCCGTGCAAAAACCTTGCAATTTTGAAGAAAATATTAAACAAGAGTTTTCACATATTAAAAGACAGCTAAAAACAGCCTTAAAAAAACCCATAAACACTTCATCTTCTATAGAAACACTGCACCACCCTGTTGGCTCTGATACACACATACGAACCTTTGACTGCTTGTACATTCACTAAGACTAATGAAAATGAGCCTTTTTTAGCAGTGCTGTAGAATGCGAAACGGGTGTCCATCTGGCTGCACACTGCTGAACAACTCACTGTGAGAGCTCTTGAAGTGGACGAAGCAAGTGCGTGGGACACAGCAGTGACAACTCGGGAGAGGTTGTTCTCTGTAGTGATGTCAGATGCATTCTGGGAAATCCTGTAGCCTCTGTAGGTCCTGCAGGTTGAAGAAAAACATGGCAGGGGCACGTTAAAAACACTTGACTTGAATCTCGGCAAGACGTTCAGAGCGGGACTTTTGTTTTCCACACAGACCTATTTTTAAATTAATGAAGCCAATCATGAAACAAAGATTATCTAAACAATTTATAGTCTATCCTAAGCTCTGTTGATTACTGGCGATGAATCCAACCACAGAAACTGTACACTGCAAATCAAACCAACAACCAGCGCATGTCTGGGAGTTTATACTTTGAGACCACAAGCCAGGGAGCTTTTTTCACGCTGCCTTTGTACCTTTAGACATAAGAATAAAGCAAAGCCTTCACTTTTCAAAAGACCATTGATCGGTATTAACAAGACAAACAAATCTGATAAGATTTTTGACATTTTCAGGTCATCGACAGTAGCTTAGTTATTTCATTTTCTAAAGGCACATTATGTGTCAATATCATTCTCAAAAAAGCTAATCAAGATGGTTGCATAATTAATATTTATGGGTGAACATATCAATACATCAATCCGTCTTCTCACCGCTTTATCCAATTCAGGTTCACAAGGCAACCAGAGGCTATCCCAGCAGGCAATGGGCACAAAGCAGTATACACCCTGGATGCGAAACCAGTCCATCACAGGGCAGACACAGACATGCAGACTCACCCCTGAGCTAAATTTCCCAGCAGCCAATTAACCTACCAGTATGTTTTTGGGAGGAAACCAAAGCACCCAGGGGAAACTCACGCAAACACAGGGAGACCACACAAACTCCACACAGACAGAACCGCAGGTCCAGAACTGAACCAGGACCCCAGCGCTGCAGGGCAGCAACGCTAACCACTGCCCAAAAGTATGATGACTTTAAATGATGTTTACAGAGTTTCAATACATTGGGAGCCTGTGAAGAAAGACTTTGGAATCACAAAAACAAAAAATGGATTTAACAGAAGAGTCTATATTCTAAACCAAGAACTGAATACATTAAAAACAAAAACCACAAAGAATACTGAAAGTATGTATCAAGATAAATGTCAAAGATTATTTAACTGCACCAAAAACAGGGTACAACTTATTAAATGGCTATCCGTTTAAATAGCTCAGTTCTTCTAATGTTGCTTTGTATTTCTCTTTTTATACACATCCAATTTACTGTTTAGGATCCAATGTTTAGGATCACAGCAAAGAATCCTGTACTAAATAGGGAGAGAAAGGACATTTGAGCCTCCCATTGGGACATTTATCTTTTGACATGCAGCGTATTCTACTGTCTGTTACAGGAAGACTGGTGCTCACTAGAGGAAAAGAGCATCTCTCACCGATATCACTAGCCTGCCTGTGGCACATGGGAAGTTACACGAGACGCTGTTTCACCCAGACCTAAACGAGTCGGTTAGCCACAATCCCCAGCTCCAACTTTCCTCACACCCCTGGTCATTCGTGACGCGACTACTGACACGCGATATGAAATCAGATTTAAGGCCAACCTCACATCTCATCTTTGAAATCAGTGAAGCAGCACCAGCCATCTAATAATTCAATATCCAACTCCCAAATGCTCACACACACGCACATGCTATACTTAAAATTGTTAAGGTAAAGAGTAGGAGTTTCAGTTAAGTGTGTACACTACAATTGTTCATAAAGTGCAGACTATTTAAGAATTTTATATGTAACAACTATTCACACTGGAGCGTTCCTGGAGAGACGCAGTCACCTGGTGATGGTGCTGACTGTGAAGTGGGAGGGAGGCTGGGTCTCATGCATGAGAAGCTGCAAGTAGACGCTGCTTTGGTCTCTGGCTATAGCCACCACTGGATCCGCCTGACCTTGGTCGCAGTCGTAGAACAATCTGGAGACGACCCTGAAGCACAAGAGAAATCTGGTTTCATACTTTTTTCCCCCCCTCAGCCCTATGGCTTGTAGTAACCAAAAATAAAATGAAACTATTAGAAAGAATGGAGAAGAGAAAGTATCATTTGCTCTGTTACCAGGCAACGCATTGTAAAAATCCAATCATTATTTTACCAGAGAGCCACTTATTTCACTGAGCCCATCCTGGAAGCTGCAAGGCTGGACCGAGAGCACCGGCTGGCCATTACAGAGCTGTAGAACAGGCAATCAGACCTGAACAGCTCCCCAATCATACATCAGCACTTTATGATGACTACTGCCAATGCAAGTGGACTATAAACCCTCCAATGCACTAGTCAGTTTTTGTTAATACTGTATTAGATTTCTTTTTATTATTCATTTTTATTTTTCATTTATTCTTATGCTTATGCTTACATAGGTACTCTGGTTATATCTTATGGTTTTCTATTATGCTGTGCCTGATGTTTTTGTGTTACTGTTCTTACTGTGAGCACACTGGGGCAAAATCCTAATAACTAAGTTGGTATGGCAATAAATACTGAATCTTGAATCGGCAAGTCTTTGCGAGGTGGAATGTCTTTTTTTATCAGAGCCCCTGGCCAAACCTCACATGGACAAAGTGGTAACATGCGACCTCCACACAGACACAACCAAAGCCAGCACACTTGTGCTCTGAGGCAGCAACACTAACTGCCACACCCCCATTACACAAAAACTAAACATAAGAACACCAGATAAATGACAAAGAAAAAGAAGTTATTTGGCTTATCAAGCTCATTTGGCTTCTAGTAGCTACGTGAATGTGAGGATCTCATCCAGCTGGTTCTTGAAAGAAGCCTGGGTATTAGCTTCCACATACCGTAGCTGGGTAGCTTGTTCCAGATTCCCATAACCCTCTGACACAGTTTACTTTACGACGTCCAAAGAAGACTG